AGCGGAGCCGCCGCCGAGGGCACCGCGCGCCCGGCTCGGCTACCCCGCCGACCCCCTTCGCTCGTGCCCGCGCCTGCTGCGCCCCCTCCGGCCGCCCTCTCCAAGCCCAGCGCACAAACGCAGGCTGGGCTGCGGGCGCGCGATGCAGTGGTTCCCGGGGGCCCGGAGCCCGAGAGTCCCCGGGGAGCGCGACCCAGGGCAGCAGCCTGGGGACGCCGGGGCGGGGGCGTAGGCACCGCCCGCCCGTGATGGACCGCGCCGCGGAAGACCCTGACTCGCCGCCACAGGTCAGTGCCCCCCCCGCAGCCAGGTCCACGGAGCCCCTTTCCGCGTCCCCGCCAGTGCCCACGCCATGTCCTCCGGGCACGCGCGTGGCGTGTACGTGTGTGTGTGTGCGCGCGCGTGTGTGGTGCACGCCGAGGGCCACCGGAAAGGGGGCCAAGGCTGAGAGGCCTTGCGCGAGGGGCTGCGAAAGAAAACCGGGATGGATGCGGCTTGCCTCCTCAGACCCGCAGGGAGGGGAGGGTGGTCCTCATCGGCTCCGCAGATTGCTCTGCTCTTAACCGCCTGCCCTGCCCCTGGCCGCTTCAGCAGGTGGTTCCCCTTGGTCTAGAGGAGAACACCCCCCAGCCCCCAGGCCAAATTCTGCTCCCTGGCAGCCCCCACCCCAGGCTCCCTCTGAGCACTGGCAAGTCAACTCTTCAGGGGAGGCTGAGGCACTGAGAGGTGGGGATGCGTTCAGGTTTCCTGGGACCTTCAGTGCACCTGGGAGGGGGAAGCAGGGCTGTTCACCCCCAGGCTCCCTCTGGGCCTGGGCTCAGGACAGGGACCTGGTGCCTCCATCGAAAGCATGCAACTTCAGAAAAGAAATTGAGAACAGAGGCAGGGGAGGAAGAAAGAAGGAAGCCACTCAAGATAGCAGGGACAGGGACAGGGACAGGGACAGGGCTTCATAGCCTCCTCCCAAGACTCCAGCCCTGCGCACAGGCAGAGGAGGATATGTTTTTTTTGTTTTGTTTTGTTTTGTTTTTCCAGAACCTGGGATTGAATTTAGGCCCATGCGCTTGCCAGGGAAGCCCTTATTCTAGTGAGCCATCTCCCCCGCCCTGAGGATATGGTCTTGACCAGTCCCCTTTTTCCCTTCTCTCTCCTGCCAGCTGAGACCTTGTATGGGCCATTCCTAGCTAAATCACTTCTCCTAGGTGCCGGAGCCCAGAGACCCCAGAAGGTTCCACTGCACAGGACCCTAGAAGTGGCCTTTGCTGGGCAACGTCTTGTGCACAGGGTGCGTGCAGTCTGGGTGGGGGATGTGATGGGCCTGAGCTCAGGCTGTTCCACATGCTGTTAGAAATGTCTGGGCGTGGATGTCCTAGTGTGGAGCTCCATGACACTACTCGGTGTTTGCAGAAACCCAGCAACATGCTTCCAAAGTTCCTGAGGTCTAGCAACCCCCAGGACCTCTAAGAGCTGTCTCCTGCCCCCTTTCCTCCCTTCTCTCTGTCAGGTTGAGATCTTTGCCCCAGTACGGCCCTAGCTGGTGACTGTTGCTGGGCTCACTGAACCAAACATGCAGCCCTCCCTTTCTGGATGAGGACCCTTCCCTTCCTGGGAGATCCTCGAGGAGACTGCTCACTGCCCAGGCTGTGTCCCGCATCCTAAAAGGTTCTGGAGTTGCACCTTATTTTCCTTTACTCCCTTGCTGGCCAAGGAGAATTAAAGCATTCGTGTCCCCTGGACCCAGTCCTGGAGCCAGCGCCTTGCTGTTCCCATCCCTAGATGCTTCAAATTGTCCCATGTTCTAGTGTGCTGTACACACCTGTGTCCGGACCAGACATGGGCACACATGCTTCAGAGGAGCTGAAGTATGGGGCAGGTAAATCACCAAGGGCAGAGCTCTGCCAACAGGATGGCAATCTGTGGTAGAGACCCGGGGCAGACAGCAGCCGGTTTCTTCCACTTGGGCTCTGGATAGGCTTAGATTTCCCCACAGCAGTATTTTAAGGGAGAAAGGAGTCAAGCATGCTCTTTCTGGGCAGGGCCCCAGGGCGTGAAGTACTCAGGAGCTCTAAGGTCAGGCCTGGAGGCGGACATCTGGGTCAGGCAGCTGGGCTCTGATAAGGCAGCCTGTGGTCCTGTGCAGCTGGAAGTGAGGGTTGATGCCTGAGCTCTCCTCCATGCTGACAGCCTCTGGAAAGGCAGGGCTCAAAAAGGGGAGGATTTGGAGTCTGAGATTACAGACAAAGGGAACACAAAGCAAGGAGAGGTTGGGTAGCGGAGGAGTTCATTCCAGAGCCCCCACAGCCTTCTGCTGGTCATTTCCTCCCCTTTCAGTGGAACACTGGACAGACTGGGGCTGTGGGAAATGCAGGGAGGCCCAAAAGATAGAGTGAGACAAGCTCAGCATGCGCCGAGGCACACAGGCGTCTCAGGACGACCCTGTGGTGCCCTTTCCCGCGCCCAGGGCTCTCTCCACCCTGCAGCCTCTGCCCGCTGCTCCTGACCCTAAAACAGTGTGACGCTCAGGATGGAGTCTGTGCGTGCCTGGAGCCTGAGGAGGAGGAAGGGACACCTGCCTTGACTGCTGCCCTTGCCCCCCAAAGACGGGTAAAGGGGCATGGACAGACCCCAACAGCCCCTTGGGGTCCTGCCTCATTCCACTGGGACCAACTGGACTCTTTGCCTTCCCTTAAGAAATAAACAGGGCCTCCAAGCCCTGGCTTGCTGACACTCTGTAAATTGGGGAACCCTCTTCTCCAGGAGAGGTGCTAGATAAGTGCTAATTTATTTTATACACTTTCCTCCGCTCCGTCCTTCCAGAATCCGTGTGGCCCTGGAATTTGGAGTAGCATGCTCTGGCCAGGCCAGGTATGGCACCAATTCTGTGAATCCCAGCAGCTGCTGTTTGGACAGCCCACAGCCCAGGCTCTGCGCCGCCTCCTGCCCTTACCCAGGCCCGGGGCACCCAGAGCTCCTCAGCCAAATAGGACAACCTTTATGTCTAATAGTTAGAAATGTGGCCATTTCACTTTATCAGGGAATGATTGTCTGAGAAAAATCGTGAGATCACTGTTTATTACTTGTGCTCCCCCCCCCCCCCCCCCGCCCCAGTCTATGTCCCAGGCCCTGGGCAGACTGTGCCTGTGTTCCAGGCTCTATACCAGGTTCTGGGGACACAAAGCATCAAATAATCCAAAATTAGTGTTTTCTATTTAGTTTTGGAAGGGTGATGTGGGTTGCTTTTTTTTTTTTTTTTTTTCCTTCCTGCAGCTACAGCAAATTTACTTTTCTAATGAGGTTTAGCTCTGGCCAATATTAAAATGAGTGTCGCTCCCGAGTGCACACCAGCTGACAGCGGCTCAGGAGGCAGCCTCGGGCCAAGTGCCTGGCAGGGATGGGGCGTTGCCACCCCCCATAATCCCTGGAGTGGACGGTCTAAGTCTGGCTCAAGGGTTGGCTGGGTTTGAAGTCAACCAGTTCACAACCCTGCCATGTCATGACCTTGCCCCGGGCCGCAGCGTCATGACGGGCGAGCCACAGACAGCGGCTTTCTCAGGATGTGTAGGGATGTTAGCCTGTAACTGCTCACAGGAGGGCGAAGGAGACATGCGTGGGAGCCAGCAGGTGTGGCCCTGGGGATGGGGCAGCATCTGCGCAAGAGGCCTGCCCTGCTGTCCCCCCAGGTGGCTGCATGGGGCAGGCTGGACTCTGCTGTCACTCCCCAGGTTGTCTCCCTCTTGAAGGGCAGCTGAGCAGTCTGGCCCCCAAGGCAGGAGTAACTCTTTGTGCTCAGGACTGGGACTGTGCATTCAGAACAGGCCAGCAGCGGACACTGGGACAGGAGGGCTGCTTCTCTACACTCTACGCAGCCCTGAAGCCACCCCAACCCCAGTGGGGACTCAGAGGCATGTATGCCTGCCTCCGCCGTGTCAGACAGCACACACAGAGTGTCCCCACCAGCCTGGGGGATCTGTGGACAGTGTGGCTGCAACTCCTTCTCTGCGCAGTTAGTTTGGTGGGTCAGCTAGGAGTGTGACCTGGCTGGACTCGGCTCCTGGCTCTGCTGCCTAGGAGCTGTGTGCTTAACCTCTCTGGGCCTCTGATTTCTCCTCACTACACCAGGGGTGACAACAGGACGTTGAGGAGGGAGTGAGTCACTGCAGTTAATCATGCTAATCGCTTAGAACATGCAACACCAGTTGCTTTTTATTTTTTATTTGAAAATAGCAAGCAATTTGTATTATTCGTCTTTGTAACAATTCACTGAAGTATTTACTGAACAGCCTACTCTGTACCAGGCTGCCTGCCATCAGCACGTGACCTTGCTTACAACTCGGGCCCTTCCTGGGCCTCAGTTTCTCCTCCTGTGGTAAGTGTGGGACCAGTTCACAACCCTGCCATGTGCCAGGCCCTTCGAGATAATGATAATGGAGATTAGAAATACATCCTCCTCCTTGCAACCAAATGCTATAAGAAGAGTCTGAGCTTGTTTGAAGATGCATGTGATGGAAATTCTGCTCTATTGGAATGACGCTCACCAAAAAATTAAAAATAAATCCTAAACTCTCTATGATAAAAGCAGCAAGCTGTGCTGGCATCTTGCCAAGTGGAGGTACAGCAGGGGCTCTGAAGGGCTCTGCTGGGGCTCACTATGTCCCTGGTCTCCAGGGGAAGACAGCCAGGACTTGGGGCTGCCACACACCCAGCTGACAGTGCAGCCAGGTGCTGAGCCATGTCTGCACTTACCATGGGATGCCGGTGAGGCTCAGCTTCCTCATCTAAAGCAGGAAGGTGTGGGCCGAGTAGCCTTTCCCACCCAGCTAAAGCACACCCTTCACCTGGCCACTAAGCTCCCAGGATTGGGGCCTAGGGACAAGGGAGGGGTGCCAGCCACTCTGCCAGAGAAAGACGGGTTGGGAAGCTTGGAAGTAGCCATCAGGAGCTCTGCACTGGCAGTGCACACCCCAGGCAACCTGGTCTGCCTGGTTTCTCCAGGAGTGAGGTTTGTGAGTAGGTTGCCTCCTTTCTTTGTAGAGGAGGGAATGGATGCCAAATGGCTCCACTCTTGTTCCAGGTTAGACATCCCCTTGGTGCCTCACCCCTGTCCAGTAAGTTGCCCATCCTGTGGTCAGGACAGGGGTGTGCAGGTCTCACAGGAGCAGCCTGCACCCATGGCTGGGCCTCTTTGTCCAGCCAGGGAGAAACGCAGTGAATGCATCAGGTCTCTGTCACAGTCCCTTGGGCAGGCCAGCTCCTCCTGGCCATGGACAGAATCAAAAACACATGCAAT